TGCTTTGAGAAATGACTTATTTTTGTATTTTTGGACATCTTTTTGGTTTAAAATGTTTCCATCTCTCCTTCTGCTTGTTTTACCCAAGGGGTTGCTTTTAAAGCCGACGCCCTTTTCGATGTATATTTCATATGCAAACTAGAGAAAATATTTAGATGAAAGGACGTTTTTCGGGACGGGATAATCTATTATAGGAGTAAATGGTGGGTTTAATTGGTTGACTACTGGGGTGCAGAAAGCTGTAAACATGTCGAGGTTCTTGTTCTGCAGCAGCCCTGCAAAGCGAATCATTGGCCACAAGGGGGCGCTGATGGCTGTTTTATCTTTCATTCGGACTTGAAGAAGAATTATGAGCTCAACAGCTAAATATTTTTAGATCAAGAGACTTGAACATTAAAACATCCATTTAATGTTTCTGTGAAGAGGTCCAGCTCTCTCTGCCTTCACATTTTTTGCTTTTTGTTCCCCAGAAGCAGAAACAGGCAGGTTGTGTTTTCTTTTCTCCTCCACGGAAACAGCGATCGGTCCCACAGCGATTCTCCACCCAAATGGTAGTTTTCCCCGCACCCCGCCGCCCACACTGTTTGTAATGCTTTAATTTTTAGACATTTTTAATAATGATTTGTTAACTTAATTGAAATGTGCTGGTAATCACAAAGATATGTATGGCGAAATTTGTTTCTCTCAAATAAATGCATGTAATGATTAATGAAACGACTCCGTGGTGAATTAGTCAGTTTGAGGTTCTGGGATTCGTCCCGTGAGAAAGCGAGATGTAAACAGGTTAAAGCAGGAAGTATTGAAACTTGAAGTTCTTCCGAGTCGGTTCTGTTTTTGCAGTTCATCCATCCTTGGTCTCTACCTAAAGGTGCGAGTGTGACCAGGATGGGAATCTCTAGCCGTCACACTGGAAGAAGACTGGTTCTCTGTCCCAGAGATGAACGTGTTTGGGTACCAAATGTGCACATCGACCCAAAAAAAAAAAAAAAGACCTTGTGAAAATGTTGGGTGGGGCTGATAGGTTTCGTTATCCACATTGAGAGGAAAAATACTTAAAAAAAAAAAATAGTTTTCAGGTGCATTCTGGGACAAATACTTGAGGTGATGTGATGAAGCTAATATCCAAGGTTTTGGTAATGGCTACCAGTGTTGTATTTGGAAAAGGTGAGAAGCTTGGATCCTACAAAACACCGTGCCAAATGTTAAGTATGGGGGGATAGTAGCATGATGTTTAGGTGTTTTTCTTCAGGAGGGATTGGTACACTTCACAAGAACGATTACATCATGAAGGAAGGTCATTATGAAGAAATAAAACATTTTAAGGTGTCCTTGAAGCTGAAACTTGAGTTGAAATGGGCCTTCCAGATGGACAATGACCCGATACGTGGATCTCTGTGTCGTAGAAAATTTATGGGCAAAGCTAAAAATGATCTGCAGGTTTATCTACAAACCTGATTCAGTTAGAGCGTTTCTGTAAAGAGGCATGGGTCAAAATCCCAGCAAACATCTGTCATGTTAATCTCCTGTTCCACCTCAAAGGTGCATTATTGGATTAAGATCTGGTGACTGGAAAACACTGGAGGACTTTTTGTGCAGTGGTGCTTCATCTTGTTGGAAGTAGCCATCAGGAGACTGGTATTCTGTAGGAATAATAGTTCAAGTCACAACAAACATTGTCTAAAGCCTCTTTATTAAAGAGATCCTATACAAAGATACAACATGTGATCAGCTCAGTCCAGTCCTATAGACAAACTCAAATGTGTTTCTTACTGTCCTCCTCAACACACCTGGAGCTAAAGCCCTGACTCCCAATTAGTACTTTCTCTTCTGCAATTGCTCATTTTCCAGTGTGATCTGGGACCATCACATCAGTCCTATGAGAGGAAAGCAAGTCAAAAATATCCCTCGGACTGAACGTCACGTGGATGCGCCTCTTTGTGCCCACTGAACAGATTCACAGACGATGACTCGCAAAAAAACCCCCGGATCTTTAGCCCTCGAGAGAACCCGTTCGGCCCCTCATCACGAGGGAAACGCGGAGGCACTCTGAGGGTCAGGGTGTGGAGCGCCGGGTGGGAACACGGCTCAGGATTCCTCCAGGAATGCCAGACTAATCCATACAATCCAGTTCTGATCCAATAGAGGAAGGGTTGTGAGAAAAATGAACAGATTTACAATATCATTAGAGAAAGGTTACATTAGAGTTGACTGAAGTATTGCCAAGAAGCTGGTTTATTTTAGTGTTTAGTGAGGTTTTTTTTTTTTTTTTTTTTAAAGAAACTACTGCTGACTTTGGTCTTATTTCAGGACTGATTAGTTCATTGAATGAATGAACTAATCATTCAACAAATGATTAGTTCATTGAATGATGAACTAATCATTCAGTGATTAGTTCATTGGCAAAAGTCTCTTTAGCTGCTGAAAGTAAGAAGAAAACATAAAAATGAAGTACTTATTCAAGAATAACTGCAAAATGGTTACATGTAGCTAACTGAACAGCTATGTAATGTCTTCATCTAAAACGAAAATAAAAATAGCAACCACTGATTTTGAGTTTTATTTCTCAAACGCCAAACTAAGTCATGTGTAAGACTTTGTTTGCTGCAGTGCTTTAGTTCTGCTGCCCTTTAAAAACATGCTTACCTTAAACTCAGAGCAATCAGTATATATACCACCTTCTTCAAACTGGAGATCATTTGTTTCCCTTCTTGATCTGATAATTTAGAGAAAGCAGAAAGGTTGTGTTGAAGTGGAAAACAAAGGTTGATTGGTTTTGTCTGGTATTTATTTATTAATTAGTTGTTTGTCTTGTGGGTTTTTTTGTGACGCTCTCTGAGTGTGGTTTCAAAACTATGCTTGAGGTAAAATATTTCCTCATGTTCAGCTGCTGTTTTCAGTCATACGACCAGAAGAATTCCTAGAGTGTCTCTTCGGTCCACATTGGTGAGAAACTGTGAGCCAGAGGAGGAATAAATGAAAAGTTCATCAGTTTTATGTCAGATGTTTAATCTCTTCCATGTAAATGGATGGGACACACTGCTGCATCCCCCCACTGTATGCTGAAATTTCCACATAAAGAATGGAGGTTTCACAAATCAAAAAACTTTATAGCGTTTTTTTACACACATTTCTTTGAACTGAGGATGTAACACACCCCCAGGTCAAATAGCCCTGGGTGGAGAGCCTCATCACTCATTTGAAAAACTGCCACTGTTTCTAATGTCTAAAGTTGAGTGAAAATTAAGATGTGAACTGTGAAAGTTTACTTTTCAATCTACCTCCTGATACTGTGACTTAAACATAAAACTTTTTAGACTGTTCTTGTAGTCTTTGACACAACAAATCCAGTAAAAGAACATCATTTAGAACCGACGGCTGGGAAAACATTTAAACTTAAAAGCTTTGACTTCAAGCTGACCCCATTTTAATTTCTTGGTTTGTCAAATTAGCAACTGGAGCTAGCATTAGCATAGAAAAAGGTTTTAGTTGAAGCTCCGTCCTTCAACAACAAACTGTTCCAGTTCTTCAAAGACACAGTTTTGGTTCAAATATCATCAAAAATATTGATTATCGAGCAACATGCATGTTGCTGTTTATTTAATACAAAAAAAAATTGAGGCTAATGCTACACATGCTAGGCTGAATATGAATATGAAGTTATGCTAGCATGTATCTCTGCCATTTGAATGACGGGTTTATGAACAAGACTAAGTTGATTCTTCTTCTTTAGATTTTAATGGCAGCTTGCATCCATTATTGTTGCACTACTGCCATCTGTTGGATCCTAATACTTATTCCTGAAACTCTGCTAATGAGCCCAGTATTTTTTAAGAAACAAAATAGCTTCTCTTTTCCTTACTATTTAACTGAGCAACCACATTCTCAAATTTCAATTCCCTAGTAAAACCTGTTTCCGTTTTCAGTAATCTTTGATTCACATATTTCCTACAGCTAATAAAAACATGTTCCATCGTTTCTACAGCATCACACCAAGTCCATAAACCAGTAAGATGTTTCCCCATCTTTAAAAGAGTGCCATATGAATTTAAATCAGAGCAGTGACAGATTTCACCACCTATATGGTGACCAAAGCAGAACAAATATCAGCAAAAACATTGTTTCCCCCCCGAGCTAAAGGTCTAACCTCAACTGTGCTTCCTGAAATGACGAAATCTAGCCAAGCTGTTGTGTCTGCAGTTTGGGTACGGTGACGATCAAATGCTTCCTTGCCTGGGCTTTCTTTGGGCTTGGCCATGCCTCAGGAATGTGCTGGCATGCTGGTGGGGATAGTAGGGATTTATCTGTAGTGTCAGCCCGTATCTGTCCTGTTGATCCACGACCCAGTGGACTGAAACAAACGGGGCCAACGACCGATCGAGGAAGGAACAAGTTCATCGTGTTCAGAAAAACTGAGAGCGCTACAGAAGCAAAGTGTTAATTTGCACAATTGTGTTTTAATTATAAAACTATTTATCAGAGATTCTTAACATTTTTGCTTTCTTGTCAAACAAGGATAACCAGAGTGAATACAAAGTATGTGAGTTCAGGTGTTTTAGCCCATTTTCTCTACTGAATTGTTTTAATTAGTCACACCGAAGCCTCACAATCAGATTTAGGCCCATACTTTGACTAGGGCCCTTTTGGTCTACTTCATGTTGTCAGACAGTTTCTTTTTAAATGATTTCCTGATTGCAGTTGTTTGGCAGCTGACTGTCAAGCCTGAAGGAAACTTGTAAACCTGTAAAACTGAACACCTGTTGCCAAAGAAATATGTTTAATTACAGCTAATTCATGTTTTAACAAGAAATGAATTAAACAGTTTTAAAACCTTTGTGTTTTCTCAGGTCATTTTTAACTTATCTTAATCTTTCTCCAAGGCCTCCATGATGCGGTTCTTGATGTGATCTGGTCCTAGTTTCTAACCTTGACAGTCCAATGGGGATTTTGAGTGCAAACAGTTTTGTGTGAAGTGTGGGCTTGACTGTGTGTGTTGGTAGGTTTGCATTGTGTCCCTCCAAAATGCTGAGGAGGGGAATGCAAACAGGGACGACTGAGAGAGTAACAGCGCCCATCCTCCTCTCCTGCTCACATGACTGTGATTAGAGCCAAGGAGGAGGAGGAGGAGGAGGAGGAGGGTGCACCGAAGAGGGAGCAACATCCATGCGTTACACAGATTCTATCCAGGAGTTAAGCTCGTCTTCCCTCGTCTGCTTCTTTGGGGTAAATACATTTTAAATTTGTTACTTTGTGTACGTTTCATGGAGAGAAAAAAAAGTTCTACATAGAACTCTGGTTAGTTAGTTACCTAAAATCAGGAGTATATTTTAATTCCCTCAATTGAAAGAATGTTTCTTTTTTTTTTTTTTTCTCCATAAATGCTTCGTCCTGTGGGAGACTGATCTCAACGTTCTTCCCTTCGACTTTGAAACAATGTCCATCTACTGCCTAAATGAATACATGTCAATATGTTTAGCTAAATAATCCATGCATATGAAACGTACCGTCAGGGACGTTTGACTAAAACAGAGACATTCAAATTAGTTTTCACTCAACTAAAACATTTATTTCTAATAGAAGTACTCCAAATAAAACTTTTAAGCATTTCCAAAACCATTTGCTGAATTTTCATTACAGCAATCAAAGTCGTCTTATATTTGCTGGCCAGGTTTTTGCTTGTTTTCAATGTTTGTTTGTTTGTTTGTTTGTTTTGACAGCTCATTTTAGTTCACAGATACTCTGTCAGATTTAAGTCAGGACTCTTACTGGCCCACTCCTGTTAACGTGAACATACTACTTCCTGTCAGAAGAAACATGTGACAGGGGTATGAATAATTTTGGGCTTCACTGTAAGAACTTAATTGACATCTTATTCATCATCCAGAGGGTTTAATGTGATCAGTCCTCCCTTTTATAAGTAAAGTTTTCAACTCTTTTGGGAGGGTTTTGGTTTAGGAGAGTGTCCAAGGGCATCTGTGAGGTCAGACACTGATGTTGGACAGGAGGGTCTGGTTCTCAGTCTCTGCTCTAATAAACTGAAAAAGGTTTTTGTTTTGTTTTTTTGTATTGTCTTGCATTTATTCCCTCATCAATTCTGAGCAGCTTCCTTGTCCCTACTGAAGAAAAGTAATCCCACAGCATGATGCTTCCACCACCGTGGTCATTGTTGGGAGAGTTTTTAATAGGGTGATTTGCAGGGTAAACTTTCTGCCAAGCATACAACTTAGTGTTTTTGTAAAAGTAAAATTATCAAACATGTGTGTATATTACAAAGCCATTTATAATTTTCCTTCCAACTCACAATCATAAACTTACTTTATGTTGTTCTGTCCCAGTAAAACACGTAGGTGGTTGTAGCAGGACGAAATGAGGCACAGTGTTGTGCTCTTTTAAACTTTACATTTATTTATTTATTTATTTATTTATTTATTTATTTATTTTTCTTAATTTGTCTCCCAGTGTCAGGTATGAGGCTGCGACAGTGGTGCATTATGGGGCTGACTGTGCTGCTGCTGCTGTGTGAGATCGCCGTCAGTCAGCTGTGTAAGTCTCTCATCACCATGGTGGACGGCTTCCATACACTTTTCATCCTTTTCCACATGGTTCTCCACCAGACTGAGGGCTTCGACAAACCTTGCACCCGCTCCTCTGCGCTTGCCTTCTCCTCCTCCTCCTCCTTCTCCTCATCTTCATCCTCTTCCTCGGGGGCTCTTCCTCCTCCTTCACTGTCAGGTCCACCTGCCGAACTTCCACCCAGAGCCCAGTCTGCGGGAGAACAGCCCCGCCAAGACCCGGCTGCACCGATTGACTCACAAAAACATTTTTCCCCAGCAGCTCCGAGCTGCGGCCTGTCGTTCCCCGACAGCCGGAAGCGGGCTCTGGGTGTTTTCATTTCCCACCTCCTCCTGGTCTCTCTGTGCGTCGCCTACTTCTTGGAAATCATGGGCTTCATGGTGAAGCCCCACCCGGTTCACCACCCCCTGCTGCCAGTGGTGGTTGGAGCTGGCAGTCTGCTCCATAAGATGCTGCTGTTTGTCCTGGACTGGGATGAGCTGCTGGATAAGAAGGCGGGAAGCTGCAGGCGGCGGGCGGAGACTCAACCTCCCCTTGAAATGAACTACAAAGGTGATGGCAGCACAGACACCTCAAAACCTCTCCAACAATGAAACAAAACTAATCCATTAACTTGCAGCTTTTTTTTTTTTCATCACACATAGAACATGTTCAGAATACCAGTTCTTCTACGTGGAATTTATAAAACGAATCGTTTTATTTAGCATCGCCGACAAAAGTGTGGAAAGCGTGATATATACATATTATTGAGCCTTCTGAATCAATATTTTTGCATACTTTGATTGCAACATCGAGTTTTTCCGCAAACATCAATTTCCAGGTCTTGCCAAAGAATCTAAAGTGGATCTAAGAAGAATATAACCTTGTCTTCAGAATCACATATGTGGCTGTAAGCTGAAGGTTGTTGTTTTGAAGGTGAACCTCCATCACAGTGTTAAATGTTCTGCAGCCTCTAACCAGGTTTTACTTGCAGGCTTGCCTTGTTTCTTTCCGTCCCCCCTCGCCCCCCCCCCAAAAAAAAATAAAAATAACACCACAGTTTAATACTGGCATCATCACGTTTCACCATTGTCCCGCTGCATTCATGATGAAGTTTTGTGTTAGGTTTCAGCCACACATAGGCCAAAACCTTTTAAAGAGGCGGCGTTACATATTTTACAGGCACATTGTGCTAATGTATAGCACAGTCAAGTAACTGTGTTACCTCAGATTGCTATAAAAATGCTCAATGTATCAAACACAACAACAAAAGAAATTTGATTTTGTAATTTAACACCGTGAAATCGGGCCTCTAACTCTTTAAGAAGCTCCTACTCTTTCCGACACTCTGCCTTCGACATCTCACCATGACGTTTCTCTATTCAGCGTTTATCAACGTTTTTGCCAGCGTTGCGCTGAGAAGTAGCTCGCATAATTAGCTCAGTGGATGTGCAGAGTGGGTGCTGTTCTGTGAGGCAGGAGCTCGGCTGGAAGCTGCAGCTCCCAGGAGGAGCTTCATCCTTCATCGGTTTCTTAAGTTTGTTGGTTGCACTGTTTTTAATTAACTAATAACTTCACTTCCTCGGTCTGTCTCTTGAAATCCCAGTTTGGGTACATTTTATCTTGTGGCTGTAACTGAACAAAGTGTGAAAAACACTGAAACATTATAAATTCTTTTGCTAGAAATTATGAACCTCAGAGTAGCATTTTTTATTATTTTTTTTTTTTAAGAAAGATCAAACAATTACGTGGCAAACATAAAAGAAACTTTATTATTCAATTTAAAAATCTCCGCTAAGAGAACGGTGTGTATGTTCAGCTGGAACACAGATAACACGTGGGGCCTTGTTTTCCATTCCTCTGCTCCACTCCCACAGTCTACGCTGCCGAGGAGTCCCAAGGCCAAGACGAAGAGGAGCTCTCTGTCCCGTCCAAAGTTCAAACTGCAGCACACCACTGTCTCCACAGCGGGGCACTTGTCCTCTGTAATCCAGGAACTCCCAACCTGCCTCAACACGACTGCAGAACGGAGCTTCAGCTGCAGGAAACCGCTGACTCAGAGAGCAGTGCTGCGCATTCAAAGAGAGAGAGTCTGAACTACCACCTGGGCACGGGGCATCCTGGTAACAGAGTTCAGATAATTGACGTTTTCCTCCAAAATGCTCGTGGACGTTGCTTTATTTTTGTAACTATTTCTGTTTCCTCCGATCGCAGACAGCCAGAATACACATGAACCCTCTTCAGCGGACAAGCCATCGTCTGGATGGAGCTGCCGCTGGGCCCTCTGCCTCCTGTCCTTCGTCTTCGTCATCCAGGGACTCTTCACGTCCCTCCTGGCTCTGATCAACAGCCTGGTGACACTCGTCGTTCCACGGCTCCTGCACGGCTCCGGAGCCTGCAGCGTCCTGGTTTATCTGGACCCGGGCCTCTCCATGCTGGCTGTCATCACGCTGATTGCAACGTCTGTGCCGCAGGTCACTCTGTCAACTTTTATGTCCTTAAAGAGACGTTGTAGGTAGTGGTGGCGCTGGGCAGGGAAGATCCCCTGTAGCAGTCTGTATTGCAACAAATGTGAAGAAGTCACTGACTGAAGATGCCCTGCTTTTCTACAGCCATTACAAAGGAACACAAATCCTTGCAATTGCGGTGTTTCCGTTAAATAAGAAATAAATTAAAATCACACGTTAATAAGCTTGTTCACGAGATAGCGACTAATGTAAACAGTTACATGAGATACATTCATAATTCAGCTGTAGCGCTAACGCTCGTCATCTAGCAATCAGCCATCGGGGGAAACGTCTGCGTCTTATCCAGGCGTTGTTCCCGAATCGTTCGGACAGATCTAAGAACCGACCCAGCCAACAAAATTTTCATGTGGGGCCAATATGGGTTGGAAATGGGCTGAAAAATGGGCCCCATGTAGGATTGTCTCCATAATGGCCCCATTTTATTAACCCATATAGGTAATATGTTGGGAAAATCTGGGCCCTAACTGGGCAAAGAACCCATCCAGGCCCCATCTTCTTATGGTCACCCAGTAACATATCACTGGGTAAGCATAAGGTGCCCAGAATGTTTATCGTTTTTATTTGTTTTACTTTTTTTTTTTTTTTTTTTTTTTAACTCACCTTTCAGGGTGCCAACCAACGAGGCCTGCTCTAAATTACGCAGCTTGGTTTTTGTGTTTCTGCATTGCATCCCTTCAGGTGTACAGGTACGGCATGCTGCTCCTTCAGGTCTCGCCTCCACACATGTGCGTGTCTGATGTCGGCCGGAGGCTGGCCGGCGTTCCCGGGGTGCAGGATGTGCACGAGCTCCATGTCTGGCAGCTGACCGAGTCGCTCACAGTGGCCTCTGTCCACATCCACTGCCACGCCGGGTTTACGTCCAACAGGTGAAGTCAAATTCTGCCGTGACAATTGATTCTGCAGACATTGTGTTTGAAGCGATATGAACGGGCTGAAATGTATTTATTGATTAAACATGGTGGAGTTGGGCTTTAAAAAGTTTGAAGGCTGCTTCGAGGCCGTGAAGATGTGCTTGGTTAACAGTCTACTTTCATTTTATAAAATATTACATTCAGGCAAGTTTTCTCTGGATTTAACTTTTCTGAATATGTCTCACAGACAGCATTGGTGCAAACATTTCACTGATTGTTGTTTCGGTTAAGTATGTTCTTATTTCAGAGTACCAACCCCAAAGCAAAACAGGAAACCATGAAAAGGGTTTCTGTTTGCTGTTATTGTCTCCATGTTGAACTTAGAGGAAAGTTGCATTTTTGTTTTTTTTTTTCTTTTTTTGAACAACAGCCTTTTAAAAAACTGTCCTCATCTCAAGATGCCCCATTCACCAACAGAATCATGAGTTAACCTCCAGTCATAAGGCAACAAACTCACTTCACTTATTTAACTTCTCTATGTGAGATTATGTTTGGGATTTAATCCCTACTTTAATTAATTCAGCGTCGCTCTTTGCCTTCCAGTCTGTATCGCGTTTTAAAGGAATAGTTCGGTTTTCCCAGTGAGATTCTCGTATTTTTACCTGCAGTTAGTACCAACCAGAGGTCAAAGTTTATTTCAAGTCAAAGAGGACAAAATGCCAAAGCGGACTTTAATCGTGTTAAAACAATCTGTAAGTCATCCGAGTGGATTACCCCAGCGTTTTCACCTTTGTCATGTTGGCACGCCGGCGATTATTTACATGGGGAAGAAGAGAGGCCGTGCACCACCATTAAAACAAAACAAAAAACAAAATTTATATAACGTATGATTCATAAGAATTCAACATAATTTTATTTATAGATGCCTTATGTATATCTAATGTATTTTTATTTGTCCAGCTATGCCGATGTGATGTCAGGAGTCACCAAAGTGCTGCAGAATGAGGGTGTGAGCTGCAGCACTATTCAGCCAGAGTTCACTTCCTCCTCTTCCGCGATCAGAGGAGATGAAGCCGCCACCTTCGTCCACAGAGAGGACCCCTGCTCTCGTCCTCTCCCACAATGCAGCCTGGCCTGTGGGAAAGCCTGTGCTGCCAGCATGTGCTGCTCCCTCCTGGAACGGACAGAGGAGCAGACCCAGAGCGTTCAGAGATCAGGAACTGGAGAGAGCAAGGAGGATCCTCAGACTCTGGTCATCGAGAACACGTTCCTCTGACTCTCTGTTTTTACCTGACATAAGAAGGTGAAGGCGGAAAATAGCACGATGTTTATCTCTGTTAGTTTTATTATATAAACAGGTGTTATTCCAAAGATTTTCTATCCATTTTTGTTTCTTTATTTGATTATGGAAAAACTTTACTTTTTCAATTTCATATGGGTGATGTTAAATAAATTCCAGTATTATGTAAAATCAACTTTTTGGGTGTTACATTATGTTATAATGTTATTCCCTCATCAAAAACATACTTGGAGTGTTGCTTTGACTGTTTCATGCATGTTTGAAAAATCCTTTGAGCTGTGCTAAAGGCCTGGGTGGACTTAGCCCCATCTTTGAGACAAAGCCCCTCCTCGGAGCTGCAGCCTCCAGAAACAACCCTCTCCTGGGGGTCCCCCACTGAGTTCCTTCAGACTAGCCAGCAGCAATTAGCAAACACCTGGTGGAGCTAAGCATCAGCTGAGCTCATTACACAAGCTGCTTCTCAGTGCAGTGCCGGTAAAATCGCTGTTAAAGGGTTAATAGAGGAGCGGTGTTTGGACAACTTCCTGAAGACAGAGTTTCAAAAAGAGCAGGAGTTTTTAAAGACACAGAGACCCAATTTCAAGGCCTTAAGTTGCCAAGTAAAATTTCTTTTAAGTTGTTTTCAGGCTTAGGGTTAGGGGTATTAGGGGTTAGGGTTATGTCCAATCGAGCCTTTGCTTTCCAAACATGGAGCAGAATAAACAGATGGAACAAACAAGCGAAACACCCCATAGATTGAGAATATTAAAATGAACATGGACTCGTTTTATAGAAAATGGTGCAGTTTTTCTTTTTTAATAAAAAGCACTGTAGAGATGCAGCAACAATCAAGACCCTGATCACTCTGATGATATAAAACTCTCCAAACACCTAATATATATGCATCAACAGATAAGCATAGCAACAGAGAGAGAACATAGTCTGTGAAATTAAAAGGTTTATTGGATTTTCTTGTCCTCCCAAGGCCACAGATTTCATTCCCTCTGCTTCGTTGCACTCAGGCTTCCTCAGCACCAGACACTTCCACACTTCCTCCAGCCAGATGGCCTCCGTCCCCCACAGCATCTGTATGCTGAAGCTTTCACCAGCAGACTGCGTTCTCATCATCAGGAGTGTGGGATGCAAACCAATGACCTCAAGTCATCTCTGATCCCGCAGAATAGAGTTTGGCGAGAGTGGGGACTTTGACCATAGTCTGAAAATTCCCCCAAATTGGTTGATTTGGTGGTATGGCTTGGACATTAATTATTTACTTCAGTTTAAAATCCAATTATTTTCTTTTAAATCTTTTAAAATCAAGATTAATTTTCTGAAACTAATAGATGAGAGAAAAAAAAATCTAAAAGCCATGGATGATGAAGAGTGGGGCCAGACTGCATGTCAGCTGTTTGAGCATAACAGCTGATTTAACTTGTTCAAAATAAAGTTATCAAACAGACAAAAATATAAAGCTATGTGGAAATTCTTGTACTTTACAGAATAATGTAAATAATTAGTAAAGATAAATGATATAAATGATATAAGATAAATGATATATAAGATAAATGAAATAATTAGTAAAGATAAATGATATAGCAGAAGAAACAATTATTTCCAACCTATTTTTCATAAGACTAACTTACAGTAGGTATTGTATAATAGTGCTGTCATTCCAATAACAATATCATATTATACAATACAACAACATACAATATTTAGGTTGTTGCACTTTTCAGTTCATGGACAGTTCTACTATATAAGTAGGGTTGCCACCTTTCAGAAATAAAAATAAGGGACGCCCACCGCGGCGTTTTAAAAAGACCCGGGTTGATAGCACCTTACCGCGGCTGCGTAGTGTCCGTTTCTAGGAAACCGTGACAACAGCGTCGGTCCGTAGCGTTCTGGGGTCCTTTAGCTCCCGCCACCAGTATTTTATTTTGGTCATTATTGTTGCACTTAATGTTGATATGTGTGTGATAGGCGTGTCTATCGGACATTTATAGAAATACAGAACGCATCGCGTCCCGTATAGGTTCAATACGGGACGCAACATTTAACAGCCAAATACGGGACGATTCCGTATTTTACGGGACGTGTGTAATTACTATATATGAATAATTACAACCTTGGCCAAAATTTCATTGTTTCTTCATGAAAAGCATAAATAAATTTACCAAACATGGGTTTCTATGTTGATCCTTGCTAAAGATTTTACACAGTAGTCGTTGACAAAACAGAACCACGATGATACTATTTCACTTGATTCATTCCGTCTCCACCCTCAGAATATAAACCAACCAATCAAATCGCGTCTGCTTTGCATAACACATAGCAGAGCTGAAAACATCCCTGTTTTCGGGTTTATTAAGAGAGAATTCAGATCTAAGATAAGTAAGATGTAGTTGTGGTAGGTGTAAATTGTTTTATAAAAGGTTTACATGAAAAATGAAAGGCATAAAGGTAACACCGTGAGTGAAAGTGATATTAATCTGAGTAGTAATAAAAGCGCTGTTCGGACAGCTTAAAAATGCCCGGATGAGCCTCGGTGGTCCGGGGTGCGGGCTTCAAACCCGTAGCTGCTTAGCGGCAGAGTGGTTCAATTCCACCTTTCGGGCGGCCACTTAGGAGCAAAAGATATGAAAACCAGTTTATTGTCGAGAAATTTTGATTTCCGTTATGTTTTCTGGTATTTCAAAATAAAAGCCGAATCGGAGACTTCCTCTTCCTTATAAATACTGAATGATATTTTCGTTGTGAAATATAACTTTTTGTGATTTTTTTTGTTACATATTGACAGGATATTTCTCACATTACAGTTTGGATTCACTTTGTGTTTTTTGTTCCCAAGTTCAAATCTCTTTAAATTCATCTTTTAATTAATCTCTTCAGATTAAAGGTGAAGAAATATATTTTTTGGGTAAAATAATTTTCACAATTTGTACATATGAGGAAAACTTTAAGAGCCACTCACTTAGAGACACAATTTTAAATCAAAAACAACCCAAAAAGCTATTTAATTTTCAGCTGACACTAGTCCAATTCTAGAGATTCCAGACATGGTAGCTGGTAAATAATCCTCAAGATTAGACACAGTGGGATTATTAATTACAAATGGCTGCCCTAAAATTTAGACACTCTAATCTTTAAAAGAGGAATAGAAAAAAATAGTTTTCTGACTGTGTCCAAACATAAAAAAGTCCAAATTTGTCGCCAATACAGACTTTTTGAGGCAGTGAAGTATTTTAACCTTTTCACCTCAGTATATTCATTTTATTTTATTTTATTTTATTTTATTTTATTTTATTTTATTTTATTATCGGAAGAGAACGAGAGCCGCAGTAACATTGATTTGACAGGAGGTGGCAGCACTGTAATTGCACTCTTCTCACTTCTCCGGAGAAGAAGAACAAGAGGAAAAGTCAACCAGTGTGATGGTTGCTGCACGATGTCCTTGCTGGCTTGAATTTTGGAATAAAGCGAATTAAAAACGGACCTGTTTTAAGTGGAGCTGTCTGATTTCTAAGTTCCCGGTAAGAACCTTGAAATTATCTCAGTCGAAGATTTCGTAAAGCTTCATTTTTGTTGCGGAGTAACCTGTGTAGCTGTCTTAATCTGTATTAGCTTCCTGCTAACCTGCATCATTATGAAATGTCTGACTATGTCTATTATAGTCTTCTTTCAAATATGTTT